AGTGTGGCCCCCAGCGTGGGCAGACAGACCCTAGCTAGCATGCTAAAAGACAGCAGTGTAGCTGGGGACAGCACAGGTGGCAGCTCAAGCTAACCGCCTACGTACAACTAGGGGGTCTGCGCTAGTTTTTACACTCAGGTGGCTAGCCTGAGCTACCACCTGTGCTACTCCCAGTTACACTAGTGTTAATATGCTAGCGCATGTCTGTCAACCCGAGCTGGGAAGCACACTCCCAGCTGAAGTGCAGATATACTCTAGGAGAGAATGGGCAAGTCCTAAAATTCAAAATCCCCCTGAATACACTGAGAATGCAGAGAGGAAGGAGGGGCATAGCATCTCCCCTCAAAGACAGTGGGAGGACAGCGCACTTCCTCTTTGCAGCTTCCACTCTTGGGGAGAAGCAGTTAGGCTGAAGCCTTTTCCAGGCAAGAAGCTGAGGACAGAGAAAGGCAGGAAGGGATTTGAATAAGCATCAGAACGTTTGGATGTTATGCCAAATCCAAAAAAATTCAGGTTCTAATATTAAAGTGGTCACACTACCTAAAATTCATTGTAATTCACAAACAGAAGATAGCAGCAAGAAAGAAAGATAATGAGGAGACCCATGTACCACAAGATCTTAAAGAAATATTGGAACTTTTTACTGTGGTGATAAACATGTTGTTTACTGTTCAATGGATCGATATTCCATGAATTTGCTTGATGTGTAAAATCTGAGTTAATAAAGAGAAAGATGCTACATGCATTTGTAAAATTACCTAGATAGAAACATGTTTCATGTAACTTACATATAGGCTGCACCCCTCTCCCTCAATCACTGATCCATCTTCAGTGGTTTGGTTTCTGATGTTAAAGGAAGCCAGTCTTGCTGAAGACCCATTTCCCCATTAATATCTACTATAGGTGATTTCATAAGTGCCTTCCACACTAGTGATGAACTCCTACAAGAGGGCTGGGGGAGAATACAGAATGATTTTCATAAGCCAAGTCAATAAATATAACTGGGTTACATCCTTGGAACCCAATCTGGTTTTGCTCAAATAATCTGAAAGTGTCAGAACCAACAATTTCTGTAAGCTTGCTTAAAAGTAAGCTATGCCAAAAGTAATAGCAGTACAACTTCTACCCCATTTGGGACTTCAGCAAGTGAATACAGGCTTGCCTTTGCTCAAGACAAATCCAGATCCATATTTTGTGTCTTTCACAGAATACAGTTAGAGGTAACCATCTTCCCCCACTTTTCTTCCCACCCTACTGCAAGGAGGTCTGCCTTTGAAAGCAATCCCGACAGAAGCCTTGACTGCATTTTGGCTTCCACCCCCCCATTAAGCACTCCATTTACAACATGACCCTTGCTAAAATGCCCTACACAGGCCTTCAAGCAGGTCTACTGTAAATAGGGATTTAGATTTAAGGTTAAGTATCATCCACTATTCTGACACTCCCATTATTTTCAGAACTTGTCTAACTAATTTACAGTCGCAACTACAAAGACCTTTAATCTTAAAAGCAAAATCAGCAAAGTTGGTCTGAGTTTTAATGCTTACCAAAACAAACATACCACTGAAATAAGAGTCTGTATATTACAAGCATTTAGTTACAGTGCAACAGACATTTATGAAGCCACCAGTTCTCAAACAGCAAGTTATGCTTATATATCAAAGACAGCTGCAAAGAGACATGGGAACATGCTTAGTGGGAGATTTTTTCCTAACTATCTGCTGAATCAAGAGTGTCTTATGAAATTGGATTTTACAGGTTACTACTCTGCCTTGACCTGTTGCCATATTTTTATTAGTGATTTAATGACAAGGTTTTAACTCTCCACCCACAAAGTACATTTTGCAGGGAAAGCAAAAAGTAGGGCTAATTAACCTTGCCAACTGGAAGTTTTGTTTTGTAATAGTTGGTCAAATAATTTATTCAGATATGGTTAGCATTTGATCAGCTCTAGTTTTAAGTGAATCCACATGTATTCAGCTTATTTTGCATTTGTAGACTGTATATTGTGGTCTCCAGTAACTGCCCTACATGTTCTCCACCCCCTATAGGCCAGAAGCCACCCAAGGTATTTGAGAAGGTTAACAGAAGAACACTTCTGACAGGTGAGTGACTGTTTTACTTATTGATCTAGTTTGATCATACCAATTACTTTAATTGTAAACATAAATGTTATGTGCCAAGTATCAGAGAGGTAGCCATGTGTTAGTCTGTATCCACAAAAACAACGAGGAGTCCGGTGGCACCTTAAAGACTAACAGATTTATTTGGGCATAAGCTTTCATGGGTAAAAAACCCCATCTGAAGAAGTGGGGTTTTTTACCCACGAAAGCTTATGCCCAAATAAATCTGTTAGTCTTTAAGGAGCCACCAGACTCCTCGTTATAAATGTTATGTGGTTCTATTGGATTTTGTTGGACTTTCTGTTTGTAAAGAGATCTCCCCTCACTCAACTAGTAATGAGCCCATTTTTGCAATGGCACAAAGTATGTTATTACAAGTATGGCTACGTAAACTTGTTAATTACTGTATCAGAGACATAAAAAATACTGTCACCTCTGAACTTCCTAAAAAAGGACACACTTGGATTTACAACACAAACAAGTTGTTCCTGGCATGACTGATTGCAACAGTAACGGAGCCACTGTGATCTATAGCAAGTAAAAGGAAAAAGTAGTCAGTTACCAAAAACTTCAGTTCTGTCTCATGAAAATTCACAGAAAGCAATGAAACTCTGTCCCACTGAAGGGACAGAAAGCTAGTTTTAGACAAGGTATTCAAATAAGGTATCATCAACAAGTTAATTTTATGATATGCATTAATATGTAAAAGCAAGACACAGTGGGGGAAAAAAGGAGCCCCAAACAAGAAAAATCCAGTGTAGGAGCAGTACAGTGTATTAGTAGACACGTTTGTCACACTGAAGATCCAAGTGATAATGACCTTTGATCTCCTGCCCCTTTCTCTCCTGACAAGTCATCAGATGTGATGGCTGCCTCCTGGTTGGTACAGAATTATGTTATGGCACAGCTAGCAGATAGTTATTGACAACTGTTAGTATTTTCTCATGGAGACGGACAGATAATTTTAGCAGAGGACTGAAAAGGTGAGTCAGATAAGGCACTTGGGTAGGGAGAAGGTAAAGAAAGTTTCCAAGAATGCCTTAAGGCCTTTCTAAGCTCAATTAGAGTTTTTAACCTAGGAGAAGTAAGGAATTTGGCACAATGGTACAAAGAAAAAGGGAGAATTCTGGGTCTCTCTCACATTCAGGTAAATAAGCTGGGCACATTTGATGGAGGATGAAAGAGAACCACCAGTGTTTCTCATTAGTGCAGTTTTTGGAGATTTAACTATCCAGAATAAGTTTGCAAAAGCAAACTGTCAGTGGAATTTCCCTTCATTTTCCTCTAGATCAAACCTGCCTGCCTCAGGATTATACAAACATTTACCATCTTAGTCCCAATAGCTGAAGTCAGCTGAAGTGTGTAGTCAAATATTGCTATAATCATGAGTAAGCGTCCTCATGCTAGAAACTTGGGAAAAAAATATCATTGGCTTGTGTACGCATTTCTTAAACTAGGCAAATGAAGGAAATAAGGGACAAAGTGATGAATCAATACTGAGTTCTATGGGAGCCAGAGCACAAAACTAGAGAGGAAAATTTCTTTTAACAGAATTGTGATTTCGGGGGGGAGGGCGGGGAGTTAGTTTCTATCCTGGTTTAATCATCTTTCACTGAGGTCCCAATCTGTAAGTGTCATGGATGTGGTCATGTTTAGCATGATAGCCATCATCAGCAGGATGCCAAGAGACAAATCTTGATCTTATTCAATATCACCAGGAGTTTTGCCATGGACTTCAATTGGAGCAGGGACAGGGCCTATAAAATGCAAATTGCAATTAAAATAATAAAGCTATTTGAATTTATGCTACATTTTGTAATTTTAAACACTGAAGACTGATCACAACAGACACGCATATTACAACTTAGCAGTGAGAGAAAAAAAGTCTTTCTTCAGTCACATAGGAGAATCAATATTATGCTTTCAGCTGTTCCCAAGAACTGATTACTATGTAGAAGCCCTTCCACCTTCTCTTAGCAGTACCCAGGGTATTGTACTTTTAGGAAGTTGCCACAGAAAAAGGAACCAACTGTTTTGTTCTTAGCTTTAGGACAAATAATGTGATTATTGTAGTTTAAAGTGAGACACATAAAGAAGAGAATATCTTTTGCAGAAGGAAGCAAACCCGAGTGGACTGTCAGACTTCGAGAAGAATGAAGGAGGTAGAGAGAGGGCCATCATGAGCATCTTTGATTATTAAAGCCAGCTGCTTGTACTAATGTCTACGCATGAAGTGTTTTTTCAAGGGACAGCTCACCAAAGCAGCTAAGGGCCTAGGGGCCACTAGGTCTTCAGCCATAGCAGGATGAATTTTAGCACATATAAGTACGGTCAGTCAATAGCCATTACACCTTTGTGAGGTAGGCAAGTATTATTACACCCATCTGTACTTAGATGGCAAAACAAAGACAGTCAAGTCACTTACCTACAATGTTACTGTCCGAGTCAAAACAAGACTGCATGAGTCTGCTTCTCACATACCCACATTTAGAATCCCATGTTATTACATGTCTGTGCCCTCATCTGTCCAGATGGTACAGTAGCTGATCACTAGCATAGCTGGTTGGGAGGTAGCATGTGGCCACCCTGAGCAACAATGCTCCATTCCCCACAGCAATAAATTAGCCCATAGTCCGCTACTATTATTAAGGGGCTGCTTCCTGAGTCTCACTGAAGTCCGTGAGAGCTGCAGGTTCACACCCCTCTGAAAGGTCACTTACACATGGCTTTCTAGACCTCTGAATAAGAAGTTTGAGTTGCCTAAAAGATTAGGGTTAAAGACAAAACAAAGTGAAATAAGAGCAGACATGACAATAAGACAAATGCAAGCTGTACAAGAACGTTCGTACAGGAAGCATCAGTCCAGTATGCACTCACCTGGTACTGGAGGCAAAGTTATGTTTCAAACTGTGTTAAGAGATCTCTTATTTCTGGGGTCAGATGCTCTACTGCCTTTGCAGCTTCTGTAATAGCTTTCCGATACATCCCTTTCTTCTTACGATTAAATCTCAGTTTGAAAGATTCAGAGAAAGGAGAGAGTTTTGAAACAGATAAGAATGAGGTTGTTGGAGAACCAAACCATGATACTTTAGCTTCTCGCCAGGAAGGTTCTCCATTTTCCTTCTGGCTAAGGTTTATGTCAAGAACACGTGCCGGCCACCATGGGAAACCATGAATTTTACCCCAAACAATATCCCCCACTGAAACAGTTCTTCCATCTTCAGTGACACATTTAGAGACACTCTGTGTATGTAGTCTAACTGTTAATGGTGGCACAATTTTACGCTCATCTTTTGAAGATGAAGAGACAGACGCATCATCACCAGGTAAAAAGTCACACATTTCTGGTGATGTTACTTCTGAACTAGAGGATTTGGATTCATCTAGACTGTCATTGCTACACACTGATAAACTAGAAGAATCTGCCTTCCTTTTACGATAATTCATAAGAAAAGCCAAGTTATCATGTCCATCTTTACCTTGGGGAAATCTTTTGAAGTCATCATCTTCACCTGAACTCCCTGAAGACATCTCTGCTAAACTTCTATCTGCAGATTCATCAGTGTAAAATGCAGCAGGATTGGACTCCCTGCTACTCTGAAGGACATTTATCTCATCAATAAGTTCTGCTTTATAAATGGAAACACTCTGACCATCATTTATTCGATGAGGTTTCAGTCTGATTTTGGGAGGTGGAACATCTGCACTGGAATGCACAGGCCTAGTTAATTTCAGTTTTGGAATGGAAGCAAGTTGGCTGCTTGCCGACTTATCCATAAAACATTTGGTTTCCTGATATCGTTCAGAGTCTCTGTTCTCCTCTTGGTCCTCCCCTCCATTCTGCAATATCCGCTGTGGACAAAATGGTTTAACCGAGCCATGAATCCGGGAGGGAATTTTCACAACTTCGCCTTTACCTTGTGGCGTGCTGTAGGATATTTTTATAACTGGCGTTCGATGCACTAATTCCCCAGAAAATTTGTCTTCCTCCCTCTTTTCTCTTTTATTCCTTTTCTCCACATAATCAGAATCACTGTGCTTTTTTTGCTCCTTGTCCTGAATACTTAGCTTCCTCCTTGTTTTAGCATTTTGCCTGGCTTTGTTCGCTTCCTCTGGGTTCAGAGTGTTTTTACATTTTTCACAGAGCACTTGCCTGGGCCTCAGTCTAATAGTGCTCATGATGAGCCTTCCTGGGTCTCTATTTCGTGACAACCGTCTTTTTGTCCTCTTTATAGTCCTTGGTGGTGGCTGAGGAACCCATTGGTTATATGTGTGTCTTAACCATAAGGGAGGAGGAAAAGGAGCTCCCTCAAAATAGGGAGGGTAAGGAGGAACATTGCCTGGTGATGGAGGTGGCAAAAGAGGAGGAACCTGTTCATCATTGTTTCCTTTGGGAGGTTTTTCACTAGAAAACCGTGACTCAGTCTCACCCTTCACAGGCTGTCTGTCTTCAGGAACCCAGTTAGTGCAAGCATCAGCAGGAGGTTCCTCTTGCTTTGGCAACGAAGGTGGTGGAAGACAGAACAACCCAGACCTATAGCAGTGTGGGAAAAAAAAAATACACAAATCAGAACGGTTTGAAAGAGGTTTCTTTGACAAAAATTAAACATTACAAAAAATGCCATTTTCTGAAAGAATATTTGCCCAATGCACTAAGAAGTCAACATTTTCCCTTCATTTTGAAACAGCAGCTAATTTTATCCTGTTAAGTGCCATCTCAAAACATATAGAGTGTATAAGCTGGGGAGGGTTTCTCCCTCACAACCCTGGGTTTAGCAGGCCAGCTTAAACCCCTAGGGGGGAGGGATAGCTCAGTGGTTTGAGCATTGGCCTGCTAAACCCAGGGTTGTGAGTTCAATCCTCGAGAGGGCCACTTAGGGATCTGGGGCAAAAATCACTACTTGGTCCTGCTAGTGAAGGCAGGGGGCTGGACTCGATGACCTTTCAAGGTGCCTTCCAGTTCTATGAGATAGGTATATCTCAATATATATATTATAATCTACTTTTTGGGTGGAAAGTCCAACGTGACCTCTGCACTGAATTCTCAGCCTTACCTTTCTCTGCAGAACAGCAACAAAGGATTAATGGGAGACAGATTTTCTATGAACACATGAGTCTGACAAAATGACTCTTTGCAATATGAAATTCTACTTTGTGCTTAGGTTTTATTAAGCCAGGAGAGCATTATGTTCCACTGACCTATTAATGCCCAGTCTGTTCTTGACAGACTGAGGAATAAGTAAATTGCAAGTTTTGTAAAATAGTCACTTCTTTTAAAAAGAAAAAAAAAAAAAAAGGGGGCCATCATGAGGTTCCATGTTTATTGTCTCAGTGGTTCCATATATGAAACGACATGTATTCCTTTAACAAGGAATACAATAGTTTTTCTGTGGGCCTGAAAACTCAAGAGCCACGCTGTGTTCTTTCTGGATCAAATTTCAGCAGCAAGACATCCCAGACACAAAATTTTGTTTTTAAATAACTCCAATTCAACCCTTTTCTCCAATATTTTGACTCCAACAAGAAATATAGCATGAAACGTGTAGCCATATTTTTAAGCTCTAAACTTCACCATGTACTTTGAGACAAGCCAGGTCTTGCCATAAATACTGGAACTCGGGGTGCTGCCACACCTCCTGGCTTAAAGTGGTTTCCATCATAGAGAGGGCTGACAGTTTGGTTCAATGGCTCTCAGCACCACTGGGACTTGGGGGAAGATTTCCTATTGGACTTTATATTAAAAGATCAGTTTTAGCAGCAATGACCTTCTTTAAAACCACAGTCCTTTACTAATAGAAAGGCCTTCCATTCTTACGTGATTGGAAGCAGGCAACATTCTCCTTGTAATGGTGATCATCCTCTCTAACAAAGACCTAGATGAGCTATTTTTATCCTATCCAGGGCCAGCTCCAGGCACCAGCTTGGCAAGCAGGTGCTTGGGGCGGCCACTCCGGAGCGGGGCGGCAGGTCCAGCTATTCGGCGGACGGTCCCTCCTTTCCGCTGGGAGCGATGGACCTCCTGCCAAATTGCCGCCGCAGGTCGCGATCATGATCGCGGCTTTTTTTTTTGGGGGGGGGCTGCTTGGGGCGGCCAAAACCCTGGAGCCGGCCGTGATCCTATGAGTTTCTACATGACATTTGTCATATCCCACAATTCTCTCTTATCAAGACATAGCTACACTGTCTCTCCCCACCCAAGACATCCAGACTTCTCCTTATCCGCTTTCCCCTTCTTTTGTCCCACATCCTCCTCAGCTTTCAGGTTATTATATAAAACTAACCCATCAAATAGCAATTAGAGTGGTCAGTGTAGTACAGTCCCCATATACTTGGCTGACATACCTGAAACATTTTAATTTTCACGTTCATTGGGAGCAATATGATCTGCAACAAGCTATTGTTACTACACCCTTTCTTTGTGTCTGAAAATAAAGGGCTGGGGTTCTTTTCTTTTTTAAGAAGTGAAAGTTTCAGCTTGGTAAAGGGAGGTACTTTTGAGTTACAATTTCTAAAATAAAATAAAGAAAGGCTTGCTGTCTTGTGCTTGGGTTTTTCCAAAGTAGTTTTCTACCTCTGGGCAGAAACACAATGGAAAGTTTCAGTAGAAAAGAAGTTTTCAGGTAGCTTTGGGGGAAGGGATAGCTCAGTGGTTTGAGCATTGGCCTACTAAACCCAGGGTTGAGAGTTCAATCCTTGAGGGGGCCACTTAGGGATCTGGGGCAAAATGAGTAGTTGGTCCTGCTAGTGAAGGCAGGGGGCTGGACTCAATGACCTTTCAGGGTCCCTTCCAGTTCTATGAGATAGGTGTATCTCCATAAGAACAGCCTGTTACAGTGCAAGGCTCAACATACAGTTACTAGAGCATGCACTGTCAAGCAAGTGTTCTAACTTCATAAATAAATAAATGTTAAATGTTTTACAAATTAAGCTCTGAGAAACTAACAAAAAACGGAAGGTAGAGCATGTTCCACAGGCCGCTTTACCTTCAGATTATATAATCTTCTCTCTAGTGCTCTCTTTCCTTCCTGCTACCTTCAGTGATCAACTCCTGCATAAAGAGGGGGAGGCAGGTGCCAACATGGGCCAGCAGAAAGAGGCTTTGGCATCCCCAGCTCAGAGAATAATTGAGAAGTACGGAAACTCCCTCAACCTCATGTCCAATCCCTTCCAGACAGCAGCACAAAGAACCTAAGGGGATAGGAGTATAGTTAGCTGCGAGGAGTTGGAATAGGCAAGCTGACTGAGTCAGTTTGACTGCACGTGCTGCTGATCACCCAGGAGCATCTCCTGCTTTGCCTCCAGTAGGTGCCTTCAGACCTGACTGGTAAGGCTGCTGTATTTCTTTCTCAGCACCATATCCCCAGGGTGGAACTTTTCGCTGGAAGGGTAAAGCTCACACTCTCACTGCAGATCTTTTTAGGCTACTGCTGTTTCAGATGACAGCTGCACACCAAAGTAATGAAACACTTCTTCCTAGAGGAGCATTAGTGGAGGTCGCATACAATCAGATATTAAAGAAGAGAGATGGTGGCTTTCTTCCCAAGACTGGAATAGCCTTATAAACTCACTGACACTCCCCCCACTTCCTAACACAAACCAGCATGCACACACTCCTCCAATTTATTATGGTAACTGTACACTGGTTTCAGTTTTGTTTTTGCAGACATTGTTAATTACAGGCCAAACCCTTCTTACCTGATTTGTGAGAGAAAACCCACCAGGGAAAAAAGAAATTGCTTCCATAAGTCACGAAAGCAGGAATTGGCCCTTAATTTTGGCACCGACTCATCGCTATTCTTTGTTCTTTAAGAGTTCAAATAATTTAGTAACTGGATGACTATAAAGTTTTAATTTGCCTTTTCTAGAAAGAACATTTCCTTTCCATTTACTTGCAGAGAGATTATGACATCTTGACCATTTTTATATTTAGATACCTTGTCTAGGTGACATTTACTTTCCAAATTAGAAGAAAATTAGCTTAGTCTACAGGAAAAAGGACTAAACTGCCTGCAAAATATAATTTAAAACTAAGCTATTTTGTTTTGAGAGCTTTACGAAAAAAGAAAAGTCAAACCTGAGAATTAAAAGTTTTAAAGTGACAGACTCTGCTAACATATTTGCTATAAAGCAACCATAAGTTGCGCATCGAACCTGAGGTATTAGTGGAGCTTATAATGGAAACCAATATAGTGCTATTATTCATACAGCTTTGGTCGGAACTGTGTGATACTTTATTTATTCAGTTAAGTGGAACGGTTCTGGCTTGACCAAATAAAACTATGCAATGGAGGAATTTTCCTCTATTCCACTCCATTAGAAGATAAATTCTGTTTACCTTACTCTTACAAGTAGGCCCAAGGGTTTAAACAGAACTACCAGAGTCATTAAAGCAAGCAAGTTCAGGCCTTGTCGATTCTCTAAAGGCTTGATCCTACTAGCCTAACTCACATGAGCAATCCCACTGAAATCACCAGAATACGTATGAGTAAATTTACTATGATCCAGTCCTTTATAAGGTCAGTGACTTTGCTATGGCATGTTTTGCAAGAGTAATGAAGTTTTAGTAGACCAAGGCCTAGCACTCGAGTATTAAACTTCTCCTGAGAAGTGGGACAACAACAGTTTCTGGGGAGAATCATCAGAATTGTGGATTACAATTAGTAAATTTGGCACTGATTAGATGAGCCTCAGTACCCTAATCTGCATCCCAAAGTTGACAATCATAGTAAAGTAAAAAACATTTAAAAAAGAGTAATTAAGATCTATAAAAGTGCTAATGGTAAAGGTCAGCCAGCTATAGCAGATGGAGACTGATATACGGCCAGATTGCAATGCCGGAGAGTGAGTGCACGTAATTAACCCAACCCAAAGGTCCCTGATTTGAGAAAGTTTAGTGAAGTCACTGAACTAGTATGAATGAATGGGGGTCTGCCTGGGCTTACCCTCTGTGCTTTAACCATTCCTTAAACCAATCAAGGGATAGCTCTGCAATAAGGGTTGAGCTGACAATTAGTTAACATTTATATTGTTGTAGTGCCCAGAAGGCTCAACCAGGCGGGGGCCTCACTGCGCTAGGCTCTATACAAAACTGTAGTAAAGTGATAGTCCCTAATGTCAGCTCTGTGCAATCTAGAAGTAGTCACATTGCTGCCATATGACCAGCCCCCACGCAGCAGTTCAATCCTTTGACTGGCTGAGGTCCAGCCCTGCCCAGCCTCAAATAATGCTGGTGGTTTGGGAGAAACTACAAGCCTCTGACTGAGGGACTGCCCAGGCTGTTAATTACTCAGATTTGCAATTCAGGGGCTATTTTAGATCCCTGGTTGCTCCAGCATTCTCGGGTAGCAGCTGCCGTGGCCCAGACAGCTTTTTGGGAAAGGGTTTGTATGTAGCGAGGTTCATAGTTGTCCCCGGCTGTGTCACACTGAGATTAGAGTATTGGCGATGCACTCTCTGCAAGGCTACACAAAGCCTTGGGAAACTTAAGGTGGGGTAGCACCACAGTCTACCTTGGCTTTCAGGTTTGTTTCCAGA